ATATATATATATATATATATATATATGGTTTCCATTCGTCTTTTTTGCCGTAGGGATTGCAACTACCATTATTAAATCCACTTAATAAGTTAATATCGTCCTATATATGGTCAATAATCAAAAAGAGTTTATTGTAATTTCATTACCAAAAATTACGTCATGTACCATATTTTTTAAATATAAAAAAATTCAACATACTGATTCATTCCGTAACTTCCAATGTGGATCCACTAAGTCACCTGAATTGGCGAACAGTAAGTTAATCTGATTTTTTTTTTCAATTATCGTAAAACAAATGATATCATCATCTTTTCAGAAGCTAGCAACAGAACGTACAACCCAGCAGTGACAATTCATCGGACCTTCATCAGACTACAAGGCCCCTGTAAGTATAATACACGTTGTTTAGATTTGTGTAAGTTTGTGAAGGACATATGACAAATCTTGTTTAATTAGTCAACATGATTTAATTCCATGGAAAATTATGAAGATATTAGTTTCAACTAACTAAAGCAACCTATGAAGAATCCACTCATTCTGATCACAAGTACAATAATCAAATGCGCGATAAAAGTTTTATATCGTGGGAGGATGCTGAAAAATTGTACATAAATTATTCCAGAAATGCAGGCTTTGATATTAGACGATGCAACTGCAAGACTACAAACGAGGGGTTGGTAAAGAATAGGCACTAGGAGTGTTCTCGGGAAGGCTATAACGTAATATTTTGGACGGACAACAAAGAATTAGACAGGAAAAACCAAACATGAGATGTGGTTGCAATGCTAAGGTTCGTGTTGCACATAATATCCTTGGAGGATTATACCGTAACACCAAATTCGAAAATTCACACAATCATCCTCTTGAGAGTGTGGAAACAGCTCATCGTCTTAAGTGTAATAGGTAATACAAATTTTTACGTTCCAATCGCACTTTCAAATTACATTAATATTACCTGTTTTTTTATATTATAAATCAAGAAAGCATATATTCATCGCCGTCTTGTAGGAAAATGACAGAATCTGAAAAAACATTGTTGATGACAATGAATGATGCCGACATCCGAACATATCAGACGTTGAATTACATTGAAAATATGTCTGGTGATCATACAAACATACATAACAAGAAAAAAAAATGCATACAACTACCTTTCGAAGCAAAGGAGCGATACAATACGCAATGGTGATTTTAATACAGCTCTTGCTATGCTCGAAGGAGTGAGGATCAGCGATCCTAACTTGGTTGTAGAAACAACGTGCGACGATGAAGGGAGGTTAACCAAACTTTTTCGATGCGATGGTTTTCGATGCGATGGTTTTTCTCAGGCAGCCTATGTGCAATTCAGTGACATTCTGATTTTTGACAGCACGTATAAAACAAACACATACAAATTCTCATTGGTAATATTTTTGGGGATAGATAACCACCTGAATACCACCATATTTAGTGGGGCATTGCTGCATAACGAGATGTCCGAATCGTATGTATGGTTGTTAACAGTGTT